CCACCAGCGTTTCGGCATGTGGTTGGCCATCCTCTTCGGGACCTGCCACAACCAACCGCACGGGGCAGGCCGACGCTGACACGAACGACTTTTTGGCCTTCAAAGAAGGGAGGAAACAACTTGGAGGCGGGTGCTTTTCGTGGGGGGGGGGGCGCGCAGCAAAGAAGCCATGTGCTTTTCGTCCGGGTAGCCTGGGTGTCTTCGCTCCTCGCGCTGCGCGGCGACTTCCCGCAGACGTTGAGAGGAGCTGCCGCGCTCAGGGTGCTCCAGGCTTCCCCGTCAGGTGCACCTCGCGCACGTGTTCTCAGGGTTGGGTTTCTTGCGAGGGTTTATTGCGATCGCGCCTGCACTGTATGTTTGGATTCACAGGATCCACTTTTACTTTGAGCGCCTTCTTGCTTCAAGAGTCGAGCGGCTTTCCCTCTTCCTTCCTCTGCAGGGGGTGTTCCCTCCTCTGCAGGGGGTGGGCGGCAGTCCAATCTGCTTCCAGCGCCTTCCTGCTCCATGTTTCTGCCTACTTCTTCCGACCGATGGGTATATGTACATCCCGTGGGGTGCTGCTGCAGGGCTCGTTTCGATTCCTCCAATTCGATTCGTCTTCGATGGTTGCCGATTCCGATTCGATCCGACTCGGGATTCCGATTCGGATGCTGATCTCTCAGTGGAGGCCTACTGGCCTGCCGATTTCTGCCGATTCGACTTCTCCCGACTTGGCTGCCGATTTGCGCCGATCCGATTAATTTCGATCGCCGATCTGACTTATCGATTCGACTCTGGGCTCACCTGCTGCTGGTTGGCTGTTCCGCCGCCGCCCAGCGGGCCTTTCGCGCAGCGCCATCGATCGCGCAGTGGCCGTGCCTATCCCGACGCCGTCGCGGACTGGTGCCACTCGATATTTCTGTTGCCGCATCCGGGCCTCGAGGTAATCTTTCTTTCCACGCATTTTTCCATCAAGGGCCCACGCATGCAATGATCGACGCGCGCCGCCGCCACATGAGGCGTTACTAGCGTCATGCATTTGAGGTAGTTGCCGACTGCTCTATTATGCTCGGATGCTCCCTGCCCGCGCCCAAAAGCCATATCCACGAGTTTGAAGCCGATGCTCGCGTCTCCTTCTTGCACCCCCCTCCTGTCCTCCCCTCTCCTTCCACGTCTCCCCTCTTCTCCTCCTCCCCTCTCCCCCCCTCGCCCCTTCCTTGCTTCTCGTGTCCTATCCTCCTCCTCCCCCCGTCGGCAGGAGCTGGTCCCGGGGAGGGGGCGAGAGCTCCAGGGGGGCGGCGGCCTGGGAAACATCGAGTCGTTGAGCGTCTTCGGGGGGATGGGCGAGAGAGGGGGAGGGGGCAGGGACGGAGGGCGGGGATGGGGGGCGGAGGGAGGGGAGGAGGGGGAGGAGGGGGAGGACGAGGAGGGGGAGGAGGGGGAGGAGGAGGAGGAGGAGGAGGAGGAGAAGGAGGAGGAGGAGGAGGAGGAGGAGGGGGAGGAGGAGGAGGACCACGATGAGGAGGGGGGTGCTTCCGTTCCCGAGCTCTTGCGAGGAAGACAGCGGGAAGCTGGAACAGCGAACACTGGAGAGGAGACAGAGTGCGAGAGAGAGAGAGAGAGAGAGACAGACATTAATGAACAATTCCGTATTCCGAATGCGAGTTTCTTTTTGGCGACGTTTGGTTGCTACAGGCGTCAACTTGCCTCACTCGTTTGTTTTTTCCAGAGATCAGGCAGCCCCTGATTATATCCATACAGACATTCATGAACACAACGGCCACATAAACAGAAAGACGACATGTGATCTGCATGGTTCTGAGAAGATTGGCAGGCGGTGATCTAGTGATCGCGTGATTCACGCTGTCGCATTGGCCCTCTTGGCGCATTTACCCCGTCCGCGCCGGTGTTCGAGCAGCATGGGCAGCATGGTGTATCGTTTGCGCGCCGAAGCACACGCTTTTGTCGCCCTGTGCACTTGTACTCAAGCTGCGGTTTACGGCGCTGGTTTGCGACCCCTGCGGGGCGTTGAAAGTAGCTACCGGGGGCCGCAGAGTGATCGCACGAAGAAGTGAAGGGTGCGTCCGTCCAGCCTTTAGCGACGCGTCATTAGTGCCCGCTGGTCCAAGGGGGCACGCGCGATGATGACACCGCCAAGCACAGTTTTAGGCTCATGCGGGGAGCGGCTCGTGTTGTGTTTCCATCGTGTCGTTCGCTCTCTGGAGTGGCAGAACTTTTGAGGGACATGTAATAAGAGGCCCGCGGCAACGACATACGGCCAGAAAGCGCGCGATCGCTCGACCCGAAGACCTGACAGTCCCGCCTGCTCTCTCCGTGCCGCGCTGGGGCCCCCTGGGGCCCCTGGGCCCCTCGCGCCCCAGGCGCCCGTCCTGCTCCTGCGCCGCCGCCCTCCAGTGGTCCATTTGGCCTTGACCATGGTCGTGGCAGCTGGTTCCACAGATCGTTGGATCAGGCCGCGCGACGTTGACAGTGCGATGTGAGTCATCCATGGGGACAGATCGTCTCCTCTGGGTATCGAGCAAATAAGGTTAGCGGCCTCAGTGCGTCTACCCAATTTGCGCGACTGGCGCCGTCGGCGCGCGTGCCATCCCGCGCGTGCGGGGCTGGCGCCCAGCCCCCAACCATGTGCTAGTTATGGTTATATTGTCTTCTCGTTCCCAAGGGGTAGAGACTATACAGAGTGATAGAGGGGAATCGAAAGAAACAGAGATACTTTGTAAGAAATATTATGATATTGAGATGGGGTATCAAACTAAACGCAGTTCATTGGAAGACTGTTTTTCTGGATCCCTAGAACACAATCTACTTCAAGCGCCTTCCTACTTCTAGTCTCGATATGCACAGGTCGTTGTTAATAATTGGGCGGGCCCGAACCCGGCCTATTTCGCCTTCCTACTGCATTTTTCTACCTGCTTCTTCCGACCGGCATCGCGATGACGGTGTAGTACTCTTTAACATATATATATGTGTATATATATAACAACCGATCTTCTCCGCGCAATGCTTGCCTTTGGGGGCACTCACTTGGCTCTGAAGAAACTGGTCAGGAGGGGAAAAACACACAGATACAATGAATCGTCGATCCCCAGGAAAATATACGAAAATACGGGAAGGGGGGGGGGGAATACAACACCCAGAAAACATCTGGAAATATGGGGAATCCTGTTGTTCGTGTGTATTTTTTTGTGTGTCCTCGGCAACTCGCCGGCTGGTCTGCCGCCCTCGCCGGCTTGTTCCCGCCCCGTCGCTGCCCCTTCGCCGCCTCGGCGCCGCCCCGTCGCCGCTCGTCGCCGCCTCGTCGCCACTGCGTCGCCACTGCGTCGCCGCCGCCTCGTCGCCGCACCACAGATAGGTTGCTCCACAGAGCTTGCACGATGGCACCTCCCCCTCCCCCCCCCCAGTTTTGTCTTCTTTCTGTATTGCTGTTGGCGAATGTTTGTGCCTTATCGTCCGCAGGGAATGCCACGACGTGCGCGCGCGCGCGTCGTCGCGCTCGCATGCTGAAATCCTTCAAACACGTGAGGTGTCGTGAGTATTTTAAACTCGATTGTCCCGACATTATATAAACACTTATGGTTTTGCAACATCGCCCTTCAACGAAACAAGCTTGCGCTCGCGGTGTTGCGAACTTTTATGAATGCCGCGCGTGTCTAAACAAATCGTTGCATTCTGCCAAACGGGCCTCTCGCGCCGCATGTCGGAATCGTTCGAAAGCCCTGGCGCGCGGGCGAGTGGGGGGGCACGATCCGTGTCAAATAAAACCATGCGGGCCACTCGCGCGCGTCGGTCGCGCGCGCAGGCGAACTCCTTCCAGATACTTCACCGAGGTGAGGACGCCGTCATCGTATTCGGCGTGGGCAGCATCGGCGACGTCACTGGCCGTGCCATCGTCGTTTTCATCGTTGTTGCCGCGTTTGCCAGTGTCGACGTTACCATGATACCGCGCCCGCCCAAATCGCCGACTTATACTGCTGTGCCCGCTGGGAAGTGCCCAACGGTCAGCACTACCGCGGCCGGGTCGGTCGCGCCAATCTAGTTGGCCGCTTGGCGCGCCAGCATGCGCGCTAGCGCGGCCGCGGCGATGCGCCAGCCAACGCCGAGCAGTCATCGCAGTCGCCGCCGCACGGGTTTTGCAAACCAAGGGGCGGGTGGGTGGGTAGGATGATTGCGCGAGCGTTTGAGCGGACGGTACAAGTTCGGCAGGGTGAATTCTCTTTTAGACTCCACCCCCCGGGATTATCCGCTCTGTTTTCCGTATAACAGTGTACATATGGTTTTGCCCCATCGTCCATCCCAGCCTGCACCACATAGTTTGCACCACTTAGCGTGCACCACATAGATCGCAGCACGTAGGCTGCACAACATATAGTGCACCACGTAGACTGGTCAACCTAGAGGTTGCACCACGTAGATTGCACCATATAGACCACAACGATTGCACCACGTTGGTTGCATCACATCGCCCACACCACATAGATCGCACCACGTAGCCCCCCTGTAATTAGATCCACGTAGCTCACACGGCGAATGTTGCACCACGTAGATTAGACCGCATCGGTTGCACCACGTATCTTTGCTAGAACACAATGTTTTTTGTCCACGCTCTCTGCGATATGTATGGCGGCGTTTTCAAACTTCCGTGTCCTGCCATCCCGTTTGCCGTCAATGCCACCGTCCGTTGGCATTCTTCTCAAGCTCTTTTTCCGACGGCCGGCACATGTACTCTCGACTGAGAGGATTAGTCACTTCGCTCGGTGCCATAGTTGGGACAAACTTCAGTGGTTTCATTGGAGCTGCGGGGGGCATCAGCAGTCTCGCGCAGCAGGTGACTGACTGCGCTGTACTGGAGCTGGGTGCACAGTGGGCCCCCACTGCTCTTCTGCTGGTCGCGACGTTCGGTTTCTTGGTGGGCGTGCTGTGTACGTGCTGCTATGTCCAGCAGTGCCCTGCGAGTCGGGCGCCGCCTCAACCTACAGTGGGGAGGGGGCGGGACTTGGCAGGCCCGCATCGTCGTCGGTCCGGCCACACGGAAGGATCTCAGCGACGTCATGGAGATCGAGGCGAGCGCCCAGCAGGAGGCCGACGGCAAGATTTGGTACCTTTTGAGCCCGGACCTCGACGTTTACCCAGTGCTGGTGGACGCCCCGGACCTGCGCGGCTACGAGCTTCTGGACAACGACGGGAGCGTGCTGTTGAGGTCTGGGCTCCGCCGGGGCGCGAGACCGGTGTACGGCTCCGAGTGGGTGCCTACCGCGCTGGAGCTGGTGGACGCGATGGAGGCGGTGGCCCCGCGGGTCAGGCCCGAGCACAGGATGTCCAAGAAGGGTCCGCTTCCTCCGACGGGGGCAGCAGTGCAGACACCTACGGACTTGGTGAATATAGTGACTGGGAGTGAAAGGCTCCCGGAGGTCAAGCCGCTGCGCTGGTACGTCACGGCGGGGCCCAACAAGTCGGAGATCGACGGCCTCTTCCCCCACTCCGTGGTGGACGAGTTCGCGCGCTCGGATGACATGGCCATCGCGGTTGTCGGCACCGGCGTGTACACCCTCAGAGCCCTCGACCCGAAGGAGGGCGTCGTGCAGGTCATCCGAGACGACCGCCTGCTAGCCATGGCGAAGGACAGCAGCGGGATCCGCAAGAAGCTGTTCAGGGACGCCGTGCTGGAGGTCACGGAGAGCCCGTGGCCAGGGTGGCCGCTCTTGGGGCCGCGCACCACGGCGTGGTGCGTCCGCTTCATTGCAGAGCAGGACAGCCACCCCCGGGCCCGCCACACCAAGTGGCTGCACGAGACGGGGCTCACCCAGTCGGACCCGGGGGTGGCTGATCATGAAGTCGCCATGCGGGCCTTCGAGTTCGGTCTCGTGTATGACCAGGTGAACGTGGGGGAGCTCGTGAGTTTCGAGCTGCTGGCCCGGCGGGCGCAGATGGCGGAGTGGCGATGCCGCGACCGCCTGGCGCCCCGCCGGGCCGACGAGACCGCGGAGGACGAGCACCTCTACATGGGCACGGGGGAGACGAGGGGTCTCATCATGATGGCCCCGTTCTTGGTGGAGCACATCTCGACGGAGCTGCACCGGGAGAGCCAGGTGATGAAGGAGAAGAGGAAGTTGAGGGAGGAGCGCCAGCTCGCCAAGGGCACTGGCGCCGACGGCGACACGAAGGAGAGCCTTCGCAAGAAGGTCGAGAGTCAAGCTGCGGAGCTTCGCCGGCTTCAGCAGCAAGGGGGTAAAGGAGACCCCGCAGGCGGCCGCGATACCGGCGGCCGCGGCGCAAAGTGACGACGCCATGCCCGCGCCCCGGGAGCTGCTGCCCGTGCCGCTCCCGCAGGCGCCCTTCGACAGCAGCGGGCCTTCAAGCTCATGCTGTCGTGCCGTGCGTTCTCGTCTTCGCCGCCACCGGCACGTCGACGGGTGGAGCATGGAGGTGCATCAGGCGCTCAACTGTCTCCACGGACGAGGGGACGCCGATCCTGGGTGCCCGCCCACTCTAGGGCAAAGTTTTTGTTCTGACCACGTGCGAGCTGCTGTTCAAAGCATCGGGGCTCCTACGATCACAGGCGCGGCAGCCTTCAAGGAGCTGTGCGCCAGCAAGCCCGGCTACACATCGACGCCGGTGAAGCCCGCCGCCTTCCAGCGCGACCTCGTCGCGCTGCCCTCGCCCGGCGCCAAGTGCGATGGCGCCTGCATCCTGCAGGGCGAGGCGCTCGACCTTTGGGAGGATTGGCAGCAGCGGTTGTTGCGGAAGAGCCCAGATGTCTCCGCCGTGAAGCCGCATTGCGACGCGAAGCTGATGCAGAGCAAGTCCAGCTACGCCCACTTCGTGGCTGACTTGTACGACGCCGGGCTGGTGAAGTTCGGCTCGTTACGTGAATCTACCCTTGGAATTTTCTTCGTTCCAAATCTGATGGGAAGTTGCGGCTTATATTTGACACGCGTCGGGTCAACCAGCTCTTTGAGCCTCCTGCGCACACGGCGCTGCCTACGGCTGGCTGCTAGAAGGGGTTGCTCTTGGAGCCTAGTGACGAGCTGTGCCTCTCGCAAGTTGATGTGGAGGCTTGCTTCTACCGCATGCGTGCACCTCCCGGGATGGAGGAGGTTTTCGTCTTGCCCCCGCTGGACTGCGGTGCGCTTCGCCGAGTTCGGCCAGACATCGCCATCGGCGGGGACGTGACATGTTCTCCCTTGCTCATCGTTCTGCCTATGGGTTGGAACTGGTCACTGTTTTTTTGCCAAGAGATGGTCACACAGTGCGTGCAGCGTGCTGGTTACCCGCCGTCCCGTATTATTGAAGACAAGCGGGCGACTCCATCCCTGGTCGGCCAGACCGCTGCAGCGGTGTATGTCGACGGAGTCGCAGTGATTGGCACGCAGAGCGCGCAGACCGTGCAGGACTGTCGTAGCATTGCCGAATCCCTCCTCGCAGTGGGCCTGGTCACCAAGGACATGGAGCTGCCACAGGACGAGCAGCCGTTCACCGGGCTCATCTTCGAGAAGGGGTCCGGGCGGATCTCCCTCTCGCGCAGCCGGATCTGGAGGATCCGACGGGCCTTCCAGTTTGCCGCCGAGGCCGACAAGCTCACCGGCGTGCAGATGCGCATGCTCCTGGGGCACTACACCTGGGCAGCCATGCTGAGGAGGCCGCTGCTGTCCGTCTTCGCCGCCTGCTACTCCTTCGCGGAGAAGGCCGGGGACATGGCTTGGCGGCCTTGGGCTACTGTACGTCACGAGCTCAGGCTGGGCGCGGCGCTGGTGGCGATGGCTTTTGTAGATTTGCGTCGGCCAGTCGCCGCCACTGCACTGGCTACCGACTACGCTTGGTCTGGCGGCGCCAAGCAAACGAGGCAGGGGACCAGCCTGGCCCCACCCAGATGTGGCGCGCCAGGGCTCAGGTCCGGTCGTTCCAAACCGCTGGGCGATCAGTTAGTGGGTGTGCTTCGGCGTAAGTTCAGAGGCCCGCGAGGTCCCCCTCGCTTGCCCCGCCGCTGGCGGTGCCTGTGGCCTGCTGCGCCCTTCGAGCTCAGGCGAGAAGAGTGGAGATTCAAGAACGCTCTCTCGACTTTTTATAGGGCCGCCGGGCTTCAGAAGCCTGTCGGCCTCAAAGGATTATTCCCTCACAGACGCTGGACGCTGGTCATAAACGAAGAACGCTGCGGGACGCGCCTTCCTGCTGCGCAGAATCAACTCATCTAAAGATCCATTCCATTTAATATTACATATCATATCCTTATTTCAGATTTTCCTCCTCCTGTGAAGCATCATCACGTACCGCCATCGGGGATGGGAGCGTATGTCAACGAGCCTTCATCATCGACGCCGCCACCACATCGCTACGTCATCGCCTGGGAGGAGGAGCAGAAGTTTTACGAGATCGGTAAGAGTATATTGGGTTCTCAAGAAGACTGGAAGGTTTGTTTCTATGGGCGGTTCAACAGGGCCGCCGACATCGTTATCCTGGAGGGGGAGGCTCTGGTCATGGGGGTCCGCCACTTCGTTCGCAACACTGCCAACCATGGACGTCGCCTGCTGCTGCTATGCGATAACATGGGGCTGGTGCTCGCATCAGGCAAGGGGAGATCTTCGGTGCCGTCGCTCAACCTCGTGCTTCGTCGGCTCGCTGCGATCTCCATCTTTGCCAATATCGATATCACAGTACGGTGGATCCCTTCAGAGTTGAATCCAGCAGACGCCCCTTCGAGACTCCCAGCAGCCAGGGCTCAGGACGCCCGCCTCGACCTCCGCTCTTTTGGAGGCCGCCCTGCACCAGAGCCCGACGATGGCTCGCTATGGCGAGCCGCTGCGGAGGCGCTCGCCGCAGAAGGGCGCCCGCGGCGGCGCGACCCTGGCCTTGCCGGCCTCGGCGACGCTGCGGCGCCCGCAGCGCTGGCAGGGGGCTTCGGGGCCCACCGGGGGGGCATCGGCACGCAGCCGAGCGACTCCTCGGACAGCGACTCGGAGCCGGAGTCCACGGCCAGCTCGAGTGACGCCAGCCCCAGCGGAGAAAGCTACAGCACGAAGAGCGAGGTTGGCGGCCGAGCGGACCAGGACGGCACGCACCACCACATTGGTGCAGCCGACCGGGACCGCGCTCACGTACCTGCAGGCGCGCAAGATCAGGGCCTCGTCCAACGTGCACTTCGTGACCTCGTACCGGAACTTCGACAACTGGTGCCAGACGCACGCCGTGCCCGTTCAGACCGCCAACGAGATCGACAAGGCCATCAGCGAGTACATGGACGTGCTCTACTTCGACGGGATGCCGTCGGACGTCGCATCGAAGACGATCGCGGCCGTCCGGCACTTCCGCCCCGCGGCGGTGGGCGAGGCCGAGTTGGCGGCCAGCAGGGCCGCGCTGAAGGGCTTCCGCTTGCTCGCCCCAGCCCGCACGCGCCAGCCGCTGGTCCGCGAGGCGGTCTTCTGCCTGATAGGGCTGGCGATGCTGGACGGCGAGTCGGGGTTCGCGGAGGCCCTCAGCTTGGCATGGGACACAGCCCTCCGCTTGCCCAGCGACCTGATGCAGTTGCGAAGTCCGCCCCTCGTGCCGCCGCAGCCCCGCATGGAGATCTACGTGTGGAGCCTGCTGCTGTGCCCAGAGGAGACCGGCCTGCGCAGCAAAGGGAAGCAGTTCGACGAGGGGGTCCAGCTCACGCCAGCAGGATCGAAGGCGTTAGGCCCTGCCCTGGCGCGCCTACGGGAACGCCCAGCCCTGGCGCCCCTGTGGGACCTCGACGCCAGGCGATTCGGCCAGCTCTTCAAGAAGTACGCAGAGATGATCAACCTCAGGGACCCGCACCCATACTGGGTGCGACACGGCTCGGCGAGCTGGGACATCGCCAGCGGGACGCGGAGCCTCGAGGAGGTGCAGGCCCGCCTTCGGCACGCCAGCGCGACCAGCACCCAGCGGTACAGCCGAGCTGCTCGCTACACCGCGGAGCTGGAGCTGGCGCCCGAGTCGGTCAAGGCCTTCGGCGCCGCGGTGGCGGACCAGTGGGCCTTGACGCTCCAGGGCCGAGGCCGCCTGCCGCCCCGCCCGCGGCGCCCAGAGAAGCCGTGGTGAGCAGGAGGCCAGCAGGCGACACATACCAGCCCAGTGATCTTTTGCCCCTATCCTCCCTCCGCAAGCGTATGCAGAAGTTGTTTGATGCTGCCCGCAGAGGCCGCAATCGCGCTCAGGTGTTTCTTGATCTTTTCGCCGGTGAAGGCAGTGTGGCTAGCAAAATTCGTTCGAGTACAGAATATGGTGTAGTCTCTATCGATATTAGATCTGATCCATGGCTTGATTTGTCTGACATTCGTCTTGTCCGTATCCTTATAGGTTGGATCGGATGCGGTGCTGTGCGCGGCATATGGATCGCGCCACCCTGCAGCACCTGGTCAGTGGCCAGCCGCGGCAGATACAGGTCTCCTCTTAATATCTACGGACACCCTGATCTCGATCCCCAGGGGTTTGCCCGTGCCCAGCTCGGAAATGTTCTGTTGAAGCACTCCCTGTTAGTAGTCACCGCCTGCCTCAAGAGGGGAATGCCTGTTGCACTCGAGAACCCTATGTCCAGTCTGATGTGGCAAGAGCCCCTACTTTCTCACTTACTCACCTTGCCGTCTTGTAATACTACCGTTTTTGATTTTTGCGCTCACGGGACGCGTTGGAGAAAAAGCACCCGCCTGGCATCGTGGCACTGCGGCGCAGCCCCTGAGGCGCTGGCCCGCCGTTGCTATGGCGCCGGGGTCAGGTGCTCCTTCTCTGGCCGTCCCCACATTTCTCTCGAGGGTAAAGCCCCTTGCGGGCGGCACTGGACCTCTATAGCTGAGCCGTACCCGCCCTCCGCTGCCCGTGCAATGGCCCGTTGGCTATCGCGTGCCGCGGATCGGATTCACCTCGAGAATTTGTCCCGTGTGTGTAACTGACATGTGCCGGCCAGAGGCCAGGTTTGGGTCTTTGGGCACTCCAAGCACGTGCTTCATGGTGGAGCCCGCCGGCCAGCCCGCCGTTCTCCATATAGATCGAACCATCTCTGGTGAAGAAACGGGTGGGACATGGCGGCGTTTTCAAACTTCCGTGTCCTGCCATCCCGTTTGCCGTCAATGCCACCGTCCGTTGGCATTCTTCTCAAGCTCTCCTCCTCCCTCCCCTCCTCCGTGTTAATGTTTGCGTTAATGATCTGCTGGGCACTCCAAGCACGTGCTTCATGGTGGAGCCCGCCGGCCAGCCCGCCGTTCTCCATATAGATCGACCCATCTCTGGTGAAGAAACGGGTGGGACATATATATATATATATATATATATATAGCTTCTCTCTTTCTTGTTTTTTTTATCTCTCTCTCTCTCTCTTGTTTCTCGCTCTCTCTCTCTCTCTCTCTCTCTCTCTCTCTTTCTCCCTCTCTCTCTCTTTCGATATATCTCTCCCCCTCTCTCCCACTCTCTCTCTCTCTATCTTTATATGTTGCTCTAGATTTCTCTATATCTCTCTCTCTCTCTCTCTTCTCTTTCTCCCTCTCCCTCTCTCTCTCTCTCTCTCTCTCTTCTCTCCTCTCTCTCTCTCTTCTCCTCTTCTCTTCTCCCTCCTCTCTCTCTTCTCCTCTTTTGTGCTTCCTATTCTCTATATATTATATTTGTTCTTTCTCTGTCCTATGTTTTTTTTTTTTTTTTTATAACTTACTACATATGCATATATAGATATGCATACATATATATATATATATATATATGTATCCCATATATCTCTAGTATCTCTTCATCTCTCTTCTCTCTCTCTCTCTCCCCCTCTCTCTCTCTCTCTTATCCCTCTCTCTCCCTTTTCTTCTATCCCGCTTTCTTTCTCTCTTTCCCTCTCCCTTTCTCGCTCTCTCTCTCTCTCTCTCTCTCTCTTCTCTCTTCTCTCTTTCTCGCTCATTCCCTCTCTCTCTCTCTCCTCATATCCTCTCTCTCTCTCCCTCTCCCCCTCTCTCCTCTATTTCCGTCTCTCTCTCTCTCTCACTCTTCCCGTCCTCCTCTCTCCCTCTCTCTCTCTCGTGCGATCTCTTTTTTTGTTCTTTTTTTTTTTCTCTCTCTCTCTCCCTCTCTCTCTCTCTCCCTCTCTCTCTACCTCGCTCTTCCCTTCTGTCCCTCTCTCTCTCTCTTTCTCTCCTTCTCTCTCGCTTTCTCGCTCGCTCTCTCCTTTCTCTCTCCTTTCTCTCTCTCTCCTTCTCTCTCTCTCTCATGTCTCTCTCCTTTCTCTTTCGCTTCTCGCTCGCTCTCTCGCTTTCTCGCTCTCTCTCTCTCCCTCTCTCTCTCTCTCTCTCTCTCTCGCTTTCTTTTTTTTTTCTCTCTCTCTCTTTCTTTTCTCTTCTTTCTTTCTTCTTTCTTTCTCTCTCTCTCTCGCTCTCTCTCTCCTCTCTCTCTCTCTCTCCTTTCTTTTTTTTTTTTTTTTCTCTCTCTCTCCTTCTCTCTCTCTCTCTCTCTCGTGCTCTGCTCCTCTCTCAGCTCGCTCGTTTTCTCTCTCTCTCTCTCTCTCTCTCCCCTCTCTCTCTCTCTTTCTCTCTCTCTCTCTCTCTCTCTCTCTCTCTCTCTCTCTCTCTCTCTCTCTCTCTCTCTCTCTCTCTCTCTCTCTCTCTCTCTCTCTCTAGTCTCGGCTCGAGAGTGCCCAGCACTCAGACCGCAGCCGCGACGCGAAGCGCCCCGCCTCGGAGTCAGACTCCCAGGCCTCGCGAGACCGGAGGGGTCCCAGCAGGACCCTACTGATTCGCGTCACCTCTCCCCACCAGAGCGCCCGCAGCAATGGCCCCCAGTAAGCCGGAGCGCCGTCGCTCTTCCAAGCAGCCTCCGAGCTCACGTCCTGCTGCTGAAGGGTCTCTCCTCCAACGCAAGCAGGACTGCATCGCAGCTTTCAAGCAAGCGGGGTCTGACCGCCCCACGGCCGCATACAACGGGCTTGCCGAGCTGAACGCGGACGAGCTCCAGGCCACGTACGACATGCACAAGACCAACACGAAGAAGCTCGGCAGTGCCTTGATCCGCATGTGCGCCGCCAACCAGATCAGCTACACGCTGGATCACCACCAGCGCAGCAAGCCTAAGCGCATTGGCGGTGACACATCACACCCACCAGCTGGGTCCGCACGTCTTCAGGCTGCGGACACCCAATTCATTGCCTTGGACCCGGCCTTTTGGAAGGTCCCAGTCCTCGCCGAACCCACATCACTTGACGACGGCAAGACGTACAAGCCCGGTATCAGCCTCCACGACTACGAGAGCGGTGAACGGCTGCTGCAACACCACCTCGAGCAGGGTAAGCGCACCACGGGTCAGCTTGCGATTGCTGTCATGGGCCCAAAAAACGATAACTACGTCGGTACCGAGCTCGCCGTCCCCGTGCTGAAGCGTCACCCCAAGGCGCCCAAAGTGGTCCACACGCGTGTCCCCGTGACCGTGTACCAGCTGGCCACCAAGGAAGTCGCCTGCACGGAAAAAGTAGCCGTCGCCACCATCGACCCTGCCGACCACGTATGCTGGATTCGGGCGACCATACATGAAACCGAGGCCATCGCCGCAGTCCCCTCCATGCATCAGGCCTTCGAGGACCAGTTCTCGGGAGGTGCCCCCGTGAACGGTGGTCCACGCGCCAAGGGTCCTTTCCGAGGGGACTCCGCTCCACAGGACAAGGCGCGCCAAAACCAAAAGCACAGGGAGTCCAAGAAAGACGCTCGCCGCCAGGAGCTCGATAGTCAGCTCCAGGACACCTTCAAGGCCCTCTTCCACGGCAACTTTAAAGCCGTCACCATCCTCGAACCCTGCAAAAGCCTAGGCAGGTATGGATCGGGCGTCGGAAAGAGGTCCCTGGCTGCCACCTTCGGCGTCAGTCTTCAAGCGGTTGACAAGGTCTTGGCGGGTTCAGGGCAACTCGGCGCCACCTACGACCTCAGCAACGTAGGTGCAGACGAGCCCACTGCAGACAAGTACCAGACCGTGTGGTTCCCTGAGGACCAGCCCATCACGATGGCAGATGCGTTCCAGAAGTCGGTGGACTTCAAGGCCCTAGGAGTCGTCAGGCACGGCAAGTCAGGCTTATTGGGGATCCGTGTTGCACGAGGGTCAGACGCCGCCAAGGCTGCTGCCGTCAGCATCCGTGGCTGCGAAGCCACCCTCGCCAAGACGCGCTACCGCATCACTGGCATTGCGGCACGCCACGCCACGCTGACCCAGCTCGCTAAGACTCTCACGGGCCCGTCCGTCAAATGGGACTGTGAGGTCTACCACACCGCCTGGGACCCAGCCACTTCGGCTCAGTTTGCCTTAGTGCGCGCCCATCGTCCCCCACTCACATATACGGTACAGGTCGCAGGGTGCCCCATCCCGTGGAGCATCACCGAGGCCCCGTTGGCTGAGGTGGTGCCGAAGAGGGACAACGTTACCATTGTCACCCCTACCACTATCACAGAGCCTGTGACGCCGCCAGCCCGTGGTGGCGGCTTCAGCCCCGCCACTGGCACACTCCTCACCAAAGCGGCCCAGAGCCCTTACCTCCACGACCTCATGACTGCCACGCCCAAAGGCAAGGGCGTCGCACCGCTCCTGATCCCCAAGGAGGAGCCTTTAGCCAAGCGCCACCGATCCTCCAGTGGGAAACGCGACGCCACGCCGCACGCAAGATCACACGGCGCCCCAGGCCGCAGCTCCTCTGCACCCCCGCACGGCACGGATGGAGCTGCCGAGCAGACGGCCGTCCAAGGATCAGGTGGTCATGACCCGCAGCTTGGCACGGTGGCGGCTGAAGGTGGGGGCCACACGGAAGGGGACGCTGCCACAGCCGCCGAGGTACCAGGCGACGCTGACGACGTCGAGATCCTCTCATCAGGTGATGAATACAGCGTGGCATCTCACGAACTCAACACCTTCGGCGAACGCTTCGCAACGGCCCCTAAACTGCCAGATGCCGCCACGACCCGCATCCAACACATGGAACAACAGCACGAGCTGCTTGCCAACACGGTGGATAACATGCAGGTTCAGCTTGCGGGCGTTCTCTCATCCCAGGCCACACTCACGGAGCACGTTTCAGGTTTGGAACGAGGGCTTGCCAC